AGAGGGGATTTCTCACTCTCTGCTCACGTGGCACTTAATACAAAGGGTGCCTCAACCTAGTGGTGGCCTCTAAGTGCCACCACAATACCACTAATAATCAAGGTTACGATTTTACTGCCAAGACTGTATTATTATGTGGCATTATATGTTTGAACATGCCTATTCTTATTTCTTGCAAAGGGCTCAGCTCAGTGCTCCCTGTTATAAATCATATGCTAATTGGAAGTGTAATCTGAACAGCTCTTACTTTTCTTTTAAACTGACGGTATAGGGCATAAAATTTGTTGTGATGTTGCGTTGCTATTTTGCCTGAGGTGCTTTTGTCCTTCTAGCACAGTTCCACATGTAACATATCAGCAAAATACTGGGAGGCCAAGAACAGAGTTTGCATAAATTGCTTATACTGCAGGATTACTCCAACAGCACTGTCATTACTGCTGGTAATTTGATTCTAGCCCATCCTTTGAAACACACAACTTGTAGAAACTAAGTACCCGTTAGGATGGATGTTCCTAAATGTGCTATCAGCCTGAAACTTTACATTATTTTAAAATACCTGGTAAAAATGAAAAATGCACACTCAGTCAAATGTTGGTTTTCATCTGCACATCAGCATCAGATTGTTTTAATTCTTGATGAACAGTTGATGCTTGGAAAAACTCAAGAGCAATGAGCCAAATTCTGGCTTTGATGAGATCCCAGTTCTCCAAAGGCTAAACATCATCTGAGCAGTGCTCAGAAGCTTATGCCCTGTATGAGTCACTTGTACCTCTTTATTAACAGTCTCTGGGAATCTGCCCCAAAGACAAATGGAATATTTCTGGCTCTGCCCTTGGGCTTTAGTGGATTTGTACTGGTATAACAGAACAGATTGGAATGGAGATGTGACCCATTTTGGTTCCAGCTGGTGATGAGCTCCATTTCAGGAATTTTTAAAGACTAAATTTGCACTTGTGCCAGAACTTCCAAAATCCCTGGGCAACCTCCAAGTCCTGCTGACACCCTCAGATGAGCTCTTGGAAGGGACTTTGAGGTGAGCTGCTGTGGTTGTTCTGAGACAGCTGTACAGGTACCTGATCCCATAACATGGACTCCCCACTGCCAGTTTGCTTTTAAACAATCCAGAGGGCCAAACACAACACAGAAACAGAGTTCCCTTCCTTCCCAGTTTACAGCAGCTGCCCTTCATTACTGCACATGTCCCAGCTTAGCCAACATCCTCATATTCCTCATCCCCTCCCTAAGTTGAATGTGTGTTACAGAGCACAGGGTGTACCCACCTCTGCTCACCCAAAATGTGCAGAGCAAATTAAGTGGGAAGGGATGCTGAAGGCAGGCAAACAGCAAGAAGATTTGGGGTTGGGGCCTGTTTTCCTTTTCCTATTTTAATTAGTTTAAGGGATGTGTTGTGCATTTCTTGTTTGGATATTATTTTCTTCTTTTCCTAACACCAAGCAGGGAAGTTGCATACAAAACCTGACAACCTCATGATTGTAATCTTGAAAGCAAGACATCGGCAGGAACTGTAGCCAAACTTCCCTCTCAATACTAAAAATAAAGTTGTGTCCTTCTTCACTTGCTGAAGACAGAGCTAAATGAAAGCTTAGTAAGTCTTAACAGGCTCACCAATACTACAGTGTCATCTTTAAAACATCCTCCTCTCTTTTCTTGGCCGCAGCTGGACAAACACCTGCAACTCTACTCAGCCCTTCTCACCTGTTGCAGCTTTCAGACCCCTCCTTTCTTTTCGCCTTGTTCTAAGGAACAGACAATTACCTTTTCCCTACAGATAGCCTATAATGAGCTATTTTTAGTCTCTCTGCAATTCCCTAACTTCCCCATGCCAAATACTCACTAAGAGTCATCAACCTTCAGCAAGGCCGACACATGAATCAAATCTGCTGCCAGGTCATTTAGGAGATGAGCCAGTTTAGAGTTAGGGACATTTTTTAATAGTCCCAGACCAGGGGAATATTTTAAATGCTATAGCTTTAAAGAGTCATCTCCAAACTTTTCAGAATAATTCTATTCTGAGTAATAAGCTGCAGATGAAGCTTCAAAGGACTGGCTTCCTTTAGGAACATTAGGGCTTATAATAAACTATTTTTTCTCCACTTCATAGATCAGTCCACCCACCCATTTTTCCACCTACAAGTGTAACCCTATATACAAATGTATAAGGCACCAAGAGGAAGATTCATTTAGAATATCCTGTCCCTGGTGATTTGCTGAATGATTTGCATCACAATTTACAGGAACAAAATGTTTTTAGTTATCTTATCACTATGTATACTGCTTTTATTTCTCTCCAACTGCGCATCATTTTTTCTCCCTCCTACATTTTCATTTCCCTTCAAGCTACAGGAGCTACTGGGCACTGGTAAACTGATGCTGCACAATCCCTCTGAAGCAGATGTTTAGCAAAGATAGGTGATATGATCCATGCATAGAAAACTCTTACCTATTTCTCTGTGGACATAAAGTTCTGCTTTGAACAGGGTTAGTATAGATCATCTAATGGAGTTTTTATTTTTTGCCATCTAGCTCTTTTCCTTCTGTTGTCATAGTGGATCTATAGACAGGGAGAGTGAGGCACTGGGAGTTTTTAAAAACAAGGATGTCTTAAAGTGAGTTATGTTTTGGAGGGTTGAGAAAACAGTGAGGGGTAAGCTAGCAAACAAACCTTTGCCTTAAAACTGAGGACATGAAATGTTACCCTGCAGGACCTAAAGTCCATGGGACACAGGAAAATCTCACACCTTCTAGCTTCACGTGGCAGTCTGTTTCCCAGTACAGCCTGGTTTCTGCTTCTTGTCTGAAGGAGGAACCCAAATATCCCAGAAACCTGGGTCTGGTCTCAGAGAAAGGGAGAGGAGACAGCTGCCCTTCCTAGGAAATGTGAAAAGCATATAGCTGGCCAGATCTTCTTAAAGAGCTTAGGAAGGCAGCTGAAGGAAAAAGGTATAGCCTGTGCGCCGGTCACAGTCACTTCTGACAGAAATGCAGCCTGCCAGAAACACAGTATTGCCCGGGGCAAGCATTTACATGGCCGGGTGGTGTGCTGCTCCTGCAGACTGTGTCACTTGGCACACATCTGGCTGACACAGCTGGATCACTTCACTCAGGTGTTTTATTTTAGTGCCTGACATAACACGGGCAAGCCACACGCAATCACTGAAACCACTCTCCCATGCAGCCCCGTGGAGCTGGCTGATGAAGGAACGCTTTACACGCAGCACTTGCAGGCACCATCTCCACCATCCGCTCAGCCCTCTCGGCTGCAAAGGCAGCTTTAGCACACAGCAGCTAGATAAACTGAAAAGCTCCAAGGTTAAGTGGGAAATAGAAATCTAGTGACCCCTGTCTGGGTAAGTGAGCTTAATGACTTGTCTGCTGCTGCATGTAGCAAACATGCTGGCAAACATCTGTCTGAGCAGCCCCTCCAAAATAAATGATTGATGGAAGCGATTTGGCTTTAAAAATGGGATAAGTCAGCTAGGAGTCCTGCTAGAAAAGGGTTAATGGGATATATGAATTGGTAGTGAGTGGAAGAGAGAGTAGAGAAGCTGGAGTCAGAGGCAACACCCCTTGTTAGGTGTTTACCATGTCGAATCTAAACCGCTTCCACTGCATATGCAAGGCAGATGAATTACTCTGTAAATCCTATTACTCTGTGTGGATAAATCTTACATTCAAGTTAACAAGTCTGGAGAGCTGGGGAATGGAAGCTGCTGAATGGATATTCCAGGATCAAAACAACCGAGGACATGGGAGGCGACCAAAGCGATATGCGTACGCGCGCGCACACACACACACACACACACACACACACACACACACACACACACACACACACATCCCTCTTCCAGCATCCTTCTTCCCTCTATCATTAAATGGGAGGGATGCAGGACACAGGGGATCATGTAGCAGAGTGTTTGGTGACATCCAGCAGGATTTATTTCATGGAAAGAGAAAGAAAACTTTGCTGCTGCTGTTAGCTTTACTAGGGGATTGCTCCCTTGATGCTTCAGGGTTTGTGCACTATCAGCTCCTCACACAGATCACAGACTTATTTTAAATTACACCCAGTAGTTTTACAGCCATAATACACAGTGTGCGCACTCACAGACACAGAATTTTCCTTCAGTAGCAGAGTAACTGCAGGTAAGTTGAGCAAGGCAGAATTTGAAAAAAGGAACCTACAGGAAAAAGACTACTGCAGTTCAGCTATTTGGGACGCTCCTAACTGAAAGCCCAAGTAATGTCAGAAGTCACTTTGGAAAACCTGCACAATGAAATCAGAAATATAACACTTCATACTGCCAGTAAGCAAGGTTTCATACGCAAAGACATCCTCATCACAACCAGACATACAGGCACAGCATACACCCATTTTTTTAGCCCTGTAAAAAACCCCAGCACACTAAGATGCAATCTTTGTAAATTGTAGCAGTCAGAGCTGCTACACCATCTTTTCACCAGCCTTTTCAACAATTGTATCCATCTTCCCTCCCCACAGGGCAGAAAAATAAATAAATAAAATTAAATTACAAGAGTTTCCCAAAAGAACTTGCCTGAGAGTTCTGGCAGCACCAGGGATAAAGTTTTTGCATATGCTCAAAAAGAAGCATGGGAAGATCAATGGAACATCTGGCAAGCACAGCTGGATCACTTTTCGATTCCTCTATTGAATACTGCGGGGCTGGTGGAAAGAGCTGGCAGATCTTTCCCCACTGAAATTCTTTCGATCCAGAGCACTACACACAGGATAGGGTGGCAAGAAGTGTTCAAAATCTTTGCTATTTTTTTCATATTAAAGCACAAACACACACAGAGAGCCTGTTTGTAGCAGCTGCTGCTACTGTAGTTTGAGAGGTAAAATAACACACAATCTCACAGAGACTTATACACACAAATCTATATCACGTCACACGTACACGTTGCATACATGGCAATACAGATGCACACACAGAAGAGGAAAAGTTGGCAAAATGCCCTACCTGAGGATGGCTGTGTCCCCTTGCCTCACGGTGATGTTATCGGTACCTCGGGTAAAATCCACGCTGCGGACTGGCAGCCCTGTAGGGAGAAGGCAAAGCAATCTCAGTAGGACCAGCGGTAATTGTTTCCGATCAGGCTGAGCCCTTGCTACCATGGCTGGTCTCGTCGAGTTTCACTGTCAGTATTTGTCTCTTTTTCTGCCTGTGTATGTGGACAGACAGACGAAGAAAGAAAAACAATAATAATAATGTACAACTCTCGTTCTGATCGACACTCCAAGAAAGGGGAGGTGATTTCACAGTCCTTCTCAGCTGCCACTTTCTCTTGCTCTTTTCAGTCTCTTGATGGCTTCTTTCCCTTCCTTGCTTTTTTTTTTTTTTTAAGGCTCTCAAAAAAAAAAAAAAAGTCTTAGCAAGCCTTCAAATAAAAAAGGGGGGAGAAAAAAAGAAGCAATACGAAAAAGTCAGGTAGCAAAATAACTACGGAATAATAACAGTTAAGTCGACCCGTTTAGAGTGATGAAGAGAGGTGGGAAAAAAAAAAAAAAAAAAAAAAAAAAAGGAGAAGGAACAAGAGGAATCCTGTGCCACCGGGATGCGGGAGGGGATAGTCCTGTGGCTGTGCTGCCTCCAGCCCCGCGCTCCCTCCTAACCCACTTTCCCAGGCGGAGCGAGGGAGGGAGGAGGAGGAGGAGGAGGAGAGAGGGAGAGAGGGAGGAGGGAGCCTTACTCGTGAGACGGCAGCTCGGCACCACAGCGGCGGCGGCGGGCGCGGAGGGAGCGGGGCCGCGCTCCCATCGCTCTCCCGCGGGCAAAGCCGCCCGGGGCTCCGCGCCGGGGACCGGGGCTGCCCGGGGGGACACGGGACGGCGGCCGGGGCGGGGAGGGGGCACCGCAGCGGGGAGAGGGGGCTTGGAAAGGCGTGAGGGCTGCAAGACAGAGGGGGTGAGTCCCGAAGGAGAGGGGAGGAGGGAGAGAGGGAAGGGGATGGAATGGGGGGGCTGGAGAAAGGAGGAGAAGGGGAGCGGGGAACTGGAGCGGGAAGCAGAGAGAAGGCAGGAGCAGCCGGGAGATGCCGAGTGGGAGGGAGGCACAGGGAGTAGGGCATAGAGGACGGAGGAAGGTACGGCCAATATTCTCAAGATGAAATACTGAGGAAAGTGGGTCTGTGGCCAAAAGTGCAAACAACTTGGCTTAGCGGCCTGAAGCCACACGCCAGCTGATTTACAGAGCAGCATCCTTGGCAACTGCCTCTGCAGCCTTAGACCTTGCTTCTTCCCCGCTCAGACTTTCCTCTCGGCAGATACCAGTTGTACATCCCTCCCTCCCACCTCTCTCCACTCAGCCCTTCCCGCCCCCCACCCCCTTTCCCAGCCTCGGAGCGACGGAGCGGAGACAATGCCGGCATTGAGCTGCCCGCGGTGTGAATGCTCGGCCTGTGCTGCCAGAGCCCGCAGCTGAGCCCCGCGCCCGCCGCCAGCAGCGCTCCCGCAGCCCGCAGCCCACGGCCGCCGCAGAGAGAAGGGAGATTAAATTAATGGAAAGGAATAAGCCCTGTGTTTTATTGCTGATGCCTGCCTGCCATTCCACCAGCCCGATCTCTGCCTGCGGGAGGGATCAGAATTGCTCCTGGGGATGCTTCGCTAATGTAACCCTTCTGTGGCCAAAGCACGGCGGGGCTGGGACAGAGAAGCAAAGAAGGAAGGGGAGGTTTAAGAGGGCTCCAGAGAATCAGGTGCAAGAAAAGCCATGGGGTTACTTGGCTAAGAGTTGCTGTCCTGTGTGGTTACAGCGCTGGTACATGAGCAGGAAGGGAAAAACTAGGTCTTGTACGTAGCCTGCTTCACCTCTGCTCCTGCAGCCTTGTGTGCTCAAACTGAAGAGACATAAGGAATGTCACAGAAATGGCCATGTGGGACCAGATCAAAGGACCCTCTAACCCTTCCTCCTGTCTCCAAGCAGCCTGAAGCCAATGGCTGGTGAAGCTCTCAAGCACAGGGCAAGCATGCAGTGGTACTGCCCCAGGGCACTTATCTCTTTCTAGTGATTTATGGCTAAGGCATGTCCCCAGCCAGTGGCACTGCCTTTGTAGTTAATAGTACTTGAATGATTTTCTTCTTCCAGGAATACATCCAGTTGCTTTCTGAACTCTAGAAACTGGCCCCTGCAGCCTTGGTATGGAAAGGCCGTGCTGTCTGAGTACTTAAACAATCCCTGCAAGTGTTAAAGGCCCACAAATTAGGGACTAAGGTCATGACACTGCTGCTCCAGTGCCACGCATGCAGTAGCAAGAAGAGATGACTGCTTTGTATTCAAGCCAAGGAGTGAGGCAAGTCAGACGTTTCCTCTGCAGTAGACTTGGCACGGATAGCACCAGATGGGGAGAGGAATGAGGACCTAAAGGGGTTAATCCAAATACTAGATGTACCCAAGCTACTGCAGAGAGAAATACCACCTCACAAGGATAATGCTCTGGAGAAGAGCATGCTGCTGACACCTGATTGCTGACTAGTAACCATCACTCTAGGATGGAGAGTGCAAGGCACAGAGATGCATCAGGCTACTGGCATGCCAGAAGAGGGGCATCAGCAAGGAAACCTCTGCACTCCCTGTGACAGACTTTGAGTACACCTAAAAGACCTGGTCCCATATGAAGTTAGCAATGAAAGAAGTGCACCCCTCTCAAGCCAGTGTTGCATGGACTCTTTTTACAAGAGTCTCCCAAATATGTTTCATCTACATTTAATAAGAGCTATTGTATGTTAATTAAATGCCCGTGGAGTAAGGAAAATATATTTGTCGAAGATTAACTATTATGCAATGCAAGAAGCATCTGCCACCCAACTGCTAGAGCTCACTAAATATTTCCTTATCTCAGAGTATTTACTTAGGAGGCAATAACTATCCAGTTAAATCTAAATTTAATGCTTAGTTAAATATAGTTCGTAGAAAGCAGCACCAATATGTTTTATACAGAAAAGGACAGAGGGGGTTTCAGGGAGGGAGAAGGAAGGAATCCTGTCTCCAGGCTCCCGTAGGATCCTAATTCAAGGTGGGACTGTATGTGGCTATACCTCTCTACCAAGAAAGGTACATCACACAGGGCTCAGAGGCTCCTTTCTGCTGATCCAGCAGTACAGGGGATGATTTAATCTTCTTACGCATTTATACAACCCTCATTAGAAGTACTGTAGCATAACTATTTAATAATAATAATAATAATCATCAGAGAGATGAGGAAGAAATTCCCTTGAGGGTTTTGTGAATCTTGTGAAAAATAAAACAAAAACAAAGAGGATGGGTCTTATTTGCTTTTTGAAGGGGATAGAAGCAAAAGGAAGGGGTTGCATAGTTGTAAAAGGCCAAACAAGCAGGAATCACACAAATCCTAGGAGAGCGCCTCATGAGTAAAATAAATAATGTTATTTTTGTATGTGTTCCCAGAAGAAATAACTCTCTGGACCCATCTCCCCCTGCTGGAAGCAGATAATGAAACAGCAGGTCTGGCTCCTAACTTTGCTAACTTGAGGAAAAATTCAGGTGAACAATCAGAGCATGGACACCACAAATCCATACCACAGCCTTTTCGTGCCATTTATCAGTACTCCTGACAGATGCAGGACTGGCAGGATGAGCACAGTGACCAGATTTTGTCACTATGCAGTTCAGGAATAGACGGAGCAGCATGATGCCAGCCCTACAGGTACCACATCATTCCCCTCCAGTACAAAACACTTAAACCCTGTTTAAAGGGAACAGGGCCCAGAGCAACACACTTGTCGAGCAAAGACTGTAAGGCACAGCCAGAGACATGGTAGAAATATTTGGATGGCAGGTGAAGGAACATATTTGTGTTTCCATGCTATGGATGTGACATTTGTACCAGCTGGAAGGAAAACTACAGGATGAGCTGAGGCAGCTTGGCTATCCCTACTTTCCCTGTCTTTGAGGGGAATGGGCTGAAGACATCCCACTGTGGACACTTAGTCCAGCTAAAGGAGAGAGTTTCCATGCTGGTCCTTGGATGGACAGGAGATATGCTGAGATATGCCATGCTGGGCAGCCCTTGGACAGCTATTCAGGTCACCTCAGCCTCCCTGCGTGGCAGCTCAGTTTTTCAGATACTCAGGGACTGACATTGTGAAAGCCTGAAGTGCCATCTGCTTTTCATGGAGAGCCAAGAGACACTGAAAGCATGGACTCTGTCCACAAATAGGAGTGGGGTTGTTTTTTGCATTTGAGGTGGCTATAAGCAAAAAGCAATCCATGCACTTCAGTCAAGGCCAACTGCAACAACCATCTGTATGATGTGGATGGCCGCTCTCTGGGACTAAAGTGAGGCTCGTCAGCTCACACCACAAACAGCCACACAAAATGGAACTGCTCTCACTTGGCTTTTCATTCATTACCAGCCACACCAAAACTAGTGACTTGATCCCAAATATTGCTGGAATCAGGGAAAAGGCATTTCTGAAAAATACCAAAAAAGCAAACTGCTCACACAAGTCTCCAGACCATATCATGACTGACACAAGAGTTTTAAGGGAGCAATGGCTCTGCCATTGCTGCCAATGGGAGCAATAAGAGCAATGGCTCTGCCAGCAGAGTCCAGGCACATAGGGACTTTATTTGGGATATCTGCAACAGTGAGTGAAAACGTATGATGTTTTGTGAGCTATAACGCATTTAGTCAAGATACACTGCCACACAATGCAGCAGAGCCTGCTCAAAGCTTCTCAGCCATGAAGAGAAAATGCAATTTTGTCTCATTGGCAGAGGAGTTATGGAGAGGAACGAGGAAGAGCCAAAGGGGTTTCACAACATGGTGAGGAAGATTAAGGGACCGTGGAAGGACAGCCGTGATCTCTCTGTCCTCTCTTCATTCCCATATCTGCAGCCCCTACATGCACACATTTCTGCTCTGATGTGCAAGGGTGGCACTCCACTGCAAGTAAGTGGTTACATTCCATTCTCCTTTGGTCCCTGGGATACAGAGAGACATAAGAGTAGGAGAAAAGGAGGAAAAGCAGGGCTAGAAAGGAGATGGTAAATCAAACTTACAAAGCACTTATTATAGGGAAAAATTCTTCAGTTTGATAAAAATACATATATATGGTTTCTATGAATACTTTGCAAGTCTAAAAATTAAACTGGCTTTTGATACTGAAAAAAAGAGCCAGTTTAGAGACATGGCTATCAACTATACATGTAATGCAACAAGGCCAAGCTTCCTCTGAAGTAAGGACCTCATTATGTAGAAGAATTTACTGCATTGAGAGCACTCAGCTAGGCCATAACTGCGGATGATAACATGCAAGCACAACACCTCTCTCTAAGTGCGGTCACTGAGCTGTAACAGAACGCTCCTGTACAAGAGCAAGAACTGATTTTCACCAGTTTGTAACCTTGCTACTATGCAATTGATCTGGTTTCACAATTGATCTCCTTGGTGTGGACAATTTAGAGGCCAAGGGCCAGGTTCTCCGTTGCTGTAAGCTGACATATCACCACCACTGTCAGAAAAGCTATGCTGATCTACACCAGCTAAAAACAAGTTGAGAAGTTCATCTTCTTCTGTGCTGCATACATAGAGAACTGTGCTATCATCTTTGAAAGAAAAAAATT